CGATATCTCGCAAAAAAAATTTGAATTTTTAAACGCCGATTACGGCGAAACTAAAAGAGATAGCGCAAAATAATTGGGAAATTCGTAATTAGCGCGTCAAAATCTATCGGATAAGATAGGTTTAAATTGAATCTGAGACATGTTCAAAAACACTAGTTTTTAAGGGGGGGGTGTTAACAATTTTTTCGTTTTTTTTATTTTGTAAATTGCGGCAAAACTGTGTCTCAATGACGTAACATTTTGACGTAAACCTATGTAAAATGTTCCGGGGAATCGATTGGCGTCAAGAAAACTGTAAAATTCGTAGTAGTTTTGAAGTTATAGTCGGATTTAAATTTTCGATATTTTTGACTTTATCAGAAATTTTCTCGATAACTATTCATCGTAGAGCACTGAACTTTTTAATATATGATAGAAAATTAAATTCTCTTTCCAACGGTACTAAATATAAGGGATTGTTGCCAATAAGTCCGGAGTTATTGCCAATAGAGCGCTCCGGGTGCCAAAAATCGACCAAAATCTCAACAAGAATCAAAAAAAAATTTATCTTTAAAATTGATTTATTTTACGTTTTATACATTCCTAGAGGTCTTAAGGACTCAAATACGTGCATAAAACGACATTGGGTCAAGTTTCAAAAATTTTGAATTTTTTGAGTTTTTGAAGGTGAGCGGTGGTAAAATCGTAAAAATAGTCAAATATCAAATTTTTTGACCGGAGAATTCGCGTTTTAAAAAATTTTTGTACACTGCCGGGGGCGTGGTGGCGCAGCGAAGTACATAAAAATTTTCTCGTAGTTTTCCATTTTTAATCAAAATTATTATCATTTTCAGGTTATTACAACTTCATAAAATAACAAATAAAGCTTTAAGACTGTCTTAATATTTCCCAATAATAGTAAACAGTTTTATCGTAAAATTATTCCCTACAAGCATAATCATAAACTATTTATTACACAATTAACATTTCATGTCATCAGAAATGTGATTTCGTTTCATTTAAATTTTAATAAAAATTGAGATGCAATATTCCACTTTGAGAAAATTGGTTAAAAAAAACTTTTCATTTCGCCGCAATTTCTGTGATTTTCCCCCAACATCAACACCGCATTTTCCTCTCAAAACCCCAATTCTACTCACTTAATGTTTTTCCGACCACTGGACACACTAGAAAATCACTCGCGTTTCAAGTGAGAGAAAAAAAACACGTGCTTTCTCCGGACGTTCGACGCGTGTGTGTTTGAGCGTCGCGACGCACACACTGGCGTCGTCTGGCAGGCGTCGCTGCCGATCAGCTGTTCAAGTACGTGGTTATATCGGGAATTTCTAGGTACCTCAGCGCCGCGACGCCAATTAACACAATGGGAAGGCTCTTGGAGACGCTTCCGGATTTGCTTTTGTAAGCGGAAAATTCTGCTTTTTTCACCACTTGTTATAAAAAGTATTATTATTTAGTTTGTCGAGAGGTTGGGAAGTTGCTTTTCCCTCCTAGGGCAATAATACTGACTATTTAAAACTATACAAAACTACAAAATAACGAAATCAAATAAAAAAGACTTAAACTTTCTCATTAAAACCATCAGAATAACCCCATCTCTAATTCTTCTGTCTTTGTCAAAACTGTCAAAAAACAAATGAGGTTATGAGGAAAAACTACAGTAGTGGGACAATTTTTAACATTTTTTCTCATTTCTTTGCATTTTTTATGTTATTTTACTTATTTTAACAAATATTTCATGATTTTGCCAACTCAAAGAAATAAAAGTCACCAGATCCTTATTTTCACCACATAATTCAGGTNTTCAGGTCTTTCCAAAAGTATGGAAAAATGACAAATTCTGTAATTTTTGGGTAAAAAACGTGCTAAAGTACACAAATAATACAATTTTTGACTTAATTTGTTGACATTTTAGTACAAAAACAAGCATTTTTGACGAAATTTTGTGGTTTTTCGGCTTATTTTTGACTTAATTTTACTCAAAAACCAATTAAATCAAAATAAACAAAATAACATTAATTTCTATTTCCTTTGTTTTTTTTTTTAAAGAAACACAAAAATAACAGTATTTTTTACCTGTTTTGGTAATTTTTTGGCTTGTTTTTAAGGAAATTTTGCGAAATAATTGCATTTCTTGTCGAAAAACCTACTAAAACACTCGAAAAATGCAAAACCACTATAATTTCCAACTTATATGTTTTTTTTTTAAATCTTGTGGAAAAATTGAAATCTTAGTGAAAAACCAAAGCATTCTCGGCCAAATTTTATGTTTTTTTGGATTATTTCTGTTTTAATTTTGCTCAAAATTAAGTTAAATAGAGAGAAATAATCAAAATGACAAAATCAAACAAAGAAGACTTAAACTTCCTCATTAAAACCATCAGAATAACCCCATCTCTAATGCTTCTGTCTTGTCAAAACTGTCAAAAAAATAAATGAGGTTATGAGGAAAAGCTACAGTAGTGGAGCAATTTTTAACACTTTTTCTCTTTTCTTTGCATTTTTTTATGTTATTTTACTTATTTTAACAAATATTTCATGATTTTCCCAGCTCAAAAAATTAAAAGTCACCAGATCCTTATTTTCACCATATTACAAGATTACAATTCAGGTCTTTCCAAAAATGTCGAAAAAATGACAAATTCTGTAATTTTTGGATAAAAAACATGCTAAAATGCACAAATAATACAATTTTTGACCTAATTTGTTGACATTTTAGTACAAAAACAAGCATTTTTGACGAAAGTTTGTGGTTTCTCGGCTTAGTTTAGACTTAATTTTGCTCAACAACTAAATTTAAATAAACAAAATAAGATTAACTTTGATTTAATTTTGTATTTTTCAGCCTGTTTTAAAAAAAATATGATTTTTTAGCTTTATACTTAAGTACTTAAAAAAGCAAAAATATCATTATTTTTGCCTATTTTGTAGAATTTTTGCTTTGCTTTTAACGAAATTTTACAAAATGATTGCGCTTCTTGCCGAAAAATTTTCTAAAATGCTTGAAAAATGCAAAGACAAGACTTAATTAGCCCAAAAACTAGTTAAATCAAAATAAACAAAATAACATTAATTTATAATTTCTCTTTAATTTTGTAATTTTTTTAACGAAACACAAAAATAACAGTATTTTTACCCATTTTGGTAATTTTTTGGTTTGTTTGTTTGTTTTAGCATAATTTTGTGAAAAATTGAGATCTTAGTAAAAAACAAAGCATTCTCGACCAAATTTTATGCTTTTTTGGCTTATTTCTGACTTAATTTTGCTCAAAATTAAGTTAAATCGAGAGAAATAATCAAAATGACAAAATCAAACAAAAAAGACTTAAATTCCTCATTAAAACCATCAGAATAACCCCATCTCTAATTTTTCTGTCTTTGTCAAAACTGTCAAAAAAACAAATGAGGTTATGAGGAAAAACTATAGTATAGTGGAGCAATTTTTAACACTTTTTCTCTTTTCTTTGCATTTTTTATGTTATTTTAACATAAAAAACATGCTAAAATACACAAATAATACATTTTTTGACATAATTTGTTGACATTTTGGTACAAAAACAAGCATTTTTGACGAAATTTTGTGGTTTGTCGGCTTATTTTAGACTTAATTTTGCTCAAAAACCAATTAAATCAAAATAAACAAAATAACAATCATTTCTCTTTAATTTAGTATTTTTTTAACGAAACACAAAGATAACAGTTTTTAATGAAATTTTGCGTTTCTTGTCGAAAAACCTTCTAAAACACTCGAAAAATGCAAAAACAATATAATTTTCAACTTGGTTGTTTTTTTACATTGTTTTAAAAAATGCAAAAAAAATGAGACCTTAGTGAAAAACAAAGCATTCTCGACAAAATTTTATGTTTTTTTGGCTTATTTCTGACTTAATTTTGCTCAAAATTAAGTTAAATTGAGAGAAATAATCAAAATAACATCAATTTATTTATTTTTTTCAATGTTTAGACAAACTTTTTTGTAAATCCTTAGTCGGTTTCTACAAAATTTTTCAAAAAATTCGAAAAACCAGACCTGGCAACGCTGGACATAACCTCATTTACGATAAGAATAAAACAATACTACCAAGTGCTAGTAGTGTAGAAAATATTATATAAAACCCGGTAGAAAAAATTCTAATCAATTACTTTGGCTAGAAAAATCTCCCCTCCATCTTGTAATATAATATACTATTAACTAATTATGTCAAAAATGACCCAAAAACTCCACCTTGTGATATAATATACTATTCACTAATTAAGTCAAAAATGACCCAAAAACCCTCCTCTAGTCATCCCCCAAAGTGTTCGATCACAAATTCCATTTTGATGTAATAATAAAACGTCTTTGTTGTTCTCTAGTCGCTTTCCTTTCATCTTCGGAAAGCTCTCCAGGGTGTTCCTATACGAATCTAATTACAAGAGAAAAAATGTTTTTGATGCAAAAACGGTTCAAAGCAACTTTAAATGAAGTTCATTCAATTTTAATGCCCATAAAATATGATTGATTAATAAATTTCCGCGTTTCAAGGCAATTTGCTGTCACAAACGCCTCGCCTATAGGCAACACACAATACACGTGTTAATTTTTAATTAAAAAATATGGTGAAATTTCTTGCACTTGTGTTATTTATTATTATTTTTCTAACTATTATTTAAATGAAAATTTGTTACAAATAACTGGGAAGAGAGAAGGAGGTAACAAGTGATATTTAAGAATTTTCTAAATTCAATAAAATGTAATTTATTTACGAAACTGTTTAATAAAATTAATAAACAAAACTGATTTAATTTAAAAAGTTGCAATCATAATTTATTTTTTCTTCATTACTTTCATAAACAAGACCATATCTGGAACAACACTTTAATTAGGGGAAAAAATTTCGTTGTGTTGGTAATTTACTTATAAAAACCACTAGGACAATGAGCAACATGATCCACATCCAACATTTCCAGGCCCGTTTCGAGTGCTCAGCTAATTTATTTGACTCAGAACTCAGTTTCGTGTAATTTTGATCAGTGAGTTGTGTCGATCTTGAGACAACTTCGGTGTCTTTTTTAATAATTTTGTTGGCTAATTCCGACTGTTCTTTCAAATTCTTGGTCAAAATGAGCATATCATCGGTGATTTTCTGTTGCAAACCCTCGTGGAAGTTCAAAACTTGGTTCAAATCGCTCGTTTCGGGGACGTTGCGGTGTCTCACACCTGCAAGCTTCACAATTACCGTAAATGGGGCCAATAAGGGGGCACCACAGACCTAGGAGACTCTTCCGAAGCAATTCGGTGTCGTTTTCCGGCGGATATTTACTAGTGGTGATCCCCAATTCGGCCTTAATGGCCGCGATACGGCCCTGGTACACCAAAAGAAACTCGTAGTTGGGGCTTAAAGTCTCCGTTTAGTGAAATTTGGGGGTTTTTGGGGCCACTTACTCTGACGTTTTTTTCACTTCCTGGTACATGTCTTCGAGACTTTCCACGTATTTGGGCATACGGTCGTCGTCTTTTTGCTTGCTTTTGCACATGAGCTCGCATTTGGCCAAAAGACGGCGCAAGTTCACCTCCTGGCGTGATAGCCCCATTTGAGACACAAAAATACGCACTTTTTCGTAAAAATTAAGACAAACTTTCGCTCAATCACTTCATTTCAATAATATCGACGTGTTTAGTGGCTATTTGACAGATAAAAGTGGGGTTATGTACAGAGGAATTTGACCCCTACCCCCCAAACTAATTGTGTAATGCAAATTGGACAATTTTTCGGGTCATTTAAAGTTGTTTTAGTACCCCTTTTATCAATTTGAATTAGTAAAATAAAAAACCTTGAAAAAAATTAATGTCAATTGTCAAAAACCTAACCCCACATTTTTTTCAAAATTTGGAATTATTAATAAAAACATGCGTGAGGAAAAACGCCCCAAAAATCACGCTAATTAATTATTTGCTTTTTATTTGTAAACGAATTGAGAAAGGAATTGAAATTCAAGGTAAAAAAAGTGTGGTTATGTAACAAAAAAAACCAACCCCAATTTCGTCAAATTGTACAAACTGTATCGTTTTATGAATCATTTAAGCCGGTTTTTTGCCCCCATTGTTGAACTAAAACCGCAAAAAACGCCAAAATAAACGAATTTCGTAAAAAAATAATCTAAAATGTCTTTGACAGATAAATGTTAGGTTATGTTTAGAGTAACTTGACCCCTACCCCCCAAACTAATTATATAATGCAAATTGGACAATTTTTCGGATCATTTAAAGTCATTTTGATACCCCTTTTATCAATTTGAATTAGTAAAATAAAAATCCTTGAAAAAAAATGACAATTGTCAAAAAACTAACCCCACATTTTTTCAAAATTTTGAATTATTAATAAAAACACATGCGTGAGGAAAAACGCCCCAAAAATCACTCTAATCAATTATTTGCTTTTTATTTGTAAACGAATTGAGAAAGAAATTGAAAATCAAATTAAAAAAAGTATGGTTATGTAACAAACCCCAATTTCGTCAAATTATACAAACTGTAACGTTTTATGAATCATTTAAGGCGGTTTTTTGCCCCCATTGTTGAACTAAAACCGCAAAATCACCAAAATAATCGAATTTCATAAAAAAATAATCTAAATGTCTTTGACAGATAAAACTTAGGTTATGTTTAGAGTAACTTGACCCCTACCCCCCCAAACTAATTATGTAATGGGAATTGAGCAATTTTTCGGATCATTTAGAGTCGTTTTGGTACCCCTTTTATCAATTTGAATTAGTAAAATTAAAAAACCTTGAAAAAAAATAATGTCAATTGTCAAAAACTTAACACCAATATTTTTAAAAATTTTGAATTTTTAACAAAAACACATGCGTGAGGAAAAACGCCCCAAAAATCACTCTAATTAATTATTTGCTTTTTACTTGTAACCGAATTGAGAAAGAAATTGAAATTCAAGGTAAAAAAAAGTGTGGTTATGTAACAAAAAACCAACCCCAATTTCGTCAAATTATACAAAACTGTATCGTTTTATGTATCATTTAAGCCGGTTTTTTGCCCCCATTGTTAAACTAAAACCGCAAAAACACCAAAATAAACTAATTTCGTTAAAAAAATAATTACAATGTCATCTGTCAAAAACCTAACCTTGAATCAACAACAAACGTCATTGACTTGTCAAAACTTAAACAATTTATGCATTTTTCGCATTTAATTCGCATCGGGTAGGTAAGTAGTTACATTTGCAAGTCTTAGAGTCTCATTAGGGCCCCATATCGTGCAAAATCACCCCTTGTTACGTAATTATAAAATTTCACAACAAAACTAAAACATATGTAATTTTTTTAGAGACAGGTATGGGTCAGGACGAGGCCCCCGACTGCACCGATCGTTGCAAATCCACCCAACATGGGGACATAATCACCGCTGCGATTTCACGTCGTTGTGTCTCCGATTTCGACCTCTGTTCCTACTTGAGCCACATTTGCTGTTGTTGTGAATCGGTGAGAGACTCCCTGGGGCGCACAGCGCTCCACGTCGCCGCCTCCTGTGGAAGAATCGAGCTCGTCAAATGGTTAATCCAAAACCGACACGCAAATATCAACGCTAGAGACGACGAATCGGGCTTCACCCCCTTGCACAGGAGCATCTTTTACGGTAAAATCCACGTCGCGGTCGAGCTCATCAAACTAGGTACTAGACAGCCCCCCTAAATCAAAATTCTCACAGGGGGTTTCAGGGGCCAACACCACGCTCCAGGACTCCAACAGTCTCACAGTCCTCGATCATGCCATGCTCGACGGGCATGCCCCCGAGGGGGCACACAGCGGCGAATTGTACGCCTGGGGCGCCAATTGCAACAACTCTTTGGGGTCGCAACAGTCGCGCTCCACCCCCGAACTCCTCGATGTCTTCCATAAGAAGTATCCCGAGGAAAGTGTGAGGAAAGTCGTCTGTGAGAAGTTTCACAGTGTTATTGTGACGTCAGGGGGGCTGGTGTACGCCTGTGGACATGGACAAGGGGGGAGGCTGGGGCTTGGGAACCAACGGACGGTTGTGGTACCCGAAATGGTCGCTTTTCCACAAAACCATGAACCTGTCACGTGTCTAGATGTGGCCATTTCTAGGGACCATAGCGTTTTTTTGGGTTCTGATAGCAATGTGAGTAAGGGGGCCCAAAAATTGAAATTTTTGAAATTTTTCTTTAAAATTGTGTCGGATTTTGGGGTGATAATTGACACTAATAACAGGTAAAATGTCACTAACAGAGCACACTTGACTGTCTTTGGAAAATGATTTTTTTAATCAAAATTTTTACATAAACTACAAAAATTGGCGACATTTCGTAAAATAATTATCAGAAACTCATTTTTTAACTACAATTTAGTTTTTTAACCCTTGAAAATGTCTCAAATGTGACTCCATCAAAGCACACTTATTTCGTCATTAATTCAGTGACATATTTCTAAAAAATTGAATAAATAAAGACTTTTGGTACTTACGGTTTTGGAAAACAAAAATCTGGGCCAAAAAAAAAACGGTTTTTTCTTCATTTTTGTTCAGAAAAGTTTTTTTTGAAACAAATGATTGTTGACAGATAAAAAACCAAAGCACACTATGGTTAGTGTAGTCTTCACAAAACGATTTTTTACCAAAATTCTTGTAAAAAAATGTTTTTTCCAAATCTTGGCCACAGTTTTGTACAATTATCGTCAAAAAGTCGTTTCCAAGACCAATTTAATTTTTTTACCGCAAAAATTCAAATGTCAAATGAAATGTCAAAGTCAAATGTCACTCGTTTTCCAGAAAAGTTCGAGAAAAAACATTAAATACGTTGATTTGAACACAAAATTGTTGCAAAAACGTCAATTGTTGTCTGTTTTATTCCAAAATCATCTTTTTATACCATTTTATTGTCAAAATGTCAAAATCACAGCCTACATTTTTTCTAACATGTCAAATAATTCATATACAGAGTGGCTTCAAACATTTCCAATTTTGAGTATCAAATAACTCGTAGAACAATTTTTGCATGTAATTTGGGCTTATTTTCACACTTTTGTACGAAATTTAGCTAAAAATAACATTTTTTTCGTTTTTCTTCAGAGATTTTTTTAAGTGACAAGTAACTAATGACAGGTAAAATGTCACTAACAGAGCACACTTGACTGTCTTTGGAAAATAAGTTTTTTAATCAAAATTTTTACATAAACTAAAAATTGGTCACATTTTGTAAAATAATTATCAGAATCTCACTTTTCAACTGTAGTTTAGTTTTTTAACCCTTGAAAATGTCTCAAATGTCACTCCATCAAAGCACACTTATTTCGTGATTAATTCAGTGACGAATTTCTAAAAAATTAAATAAATCAACACTTTTAGTACTTACGTTTTTGGAAAACACAAATCTGGGCCAAAAAACTGTTTTTTCTTCATTTTTATTCAGAAAAGATTTTTTGAAACAAATGACTGTTGACAGATAAAAAACCAAAGCACTCTATGGTTAGTGTAGTCTTCACAAAACGATTTTTTTACCAAAATTCGTGTAAAAAAAAAATATTTTTTCCAAATCTTGACCACACTTTTGTACAATTATCGTCAAAAAGTCGTTTCCAAGACCAATTTAATTTTTTTAACGCAAAAATTCAAATGTCAAATGAAATGTCAAAATCAAATGTCACTTTTTTTCCAGAAACTTTTGAGAAAAAACGCTGATTTGAACACAAAATTGTTGCAAAACCGTCATTTGTTGTCTGTTTTATTCCAAAATCACCTTTTTATATCATTTTATTGCCAAAATTCTTCAAAATGTCCAAATCACAGCCTACTAATATCAAAAAAATTCATTTTTTTTCCAAATGTTGCAGCTCTATTCCTGCGGGTTGAACACACATCGAGTGCTCGGGCTGCGCCCCCCACCGTCTCAAATCCTCGTACCAACCCCCGTCAAGCATTTAGAGCACGTGCGACACGTGTGCGCTGGTCGTTACCACTCTGTCGCATGGGGGCCCAAATGTCTCTACACATGGGGGCTCAATGCCGGCCAATTGGGCCATAAAATGCGCCCCGATGACAATTACATCACGTCACCAAAACCTGTAGGAATTCTCAATTTAACTGAAACCGAAATCGCTGCAGTGGATTCCAGCGATGGTGCGATTTCAATCTACACGAAAAAGGGCGACATCTATGTTTTACACGAGTACCAATGTCGCAAAATCGCCTCAAGACAATTAAACATCATTCAAGTCAGTATTTTTGGCGGGAAATTAAACACGAATTTAAGCAAAGAATTGTCAACAGAGCCGAATCGTGAATTGAAAGTTGCCGCATTGACAAACACTGGAAATGTGTTGGTATGGCAGGAATCTGTACCGCAACTAAATCGGTGTATTTATTCACTAAATCGGCCAATCGTTGTTAAACAAATGACAATCAATAATAACGGTCTTTTGTTTGTAACAAAAGACGGTGAGGCATTCCAAGGCACGATTAAACCAACAAAGAAAAAGAAAACTGTATTACCGACAATTGAGAAAAGTGCATTTCACAAGTTTCTCGACCGTGAGGATTGCATTTCCATCAAACTTTTGAAATTCCCGCGCATTCATCGTGCGATTTTCATTACGAGTGATGTCAAAGGTCACGATTTTTGTGTCATTCAAGTGCCACCATATAAACGGTTTGAAACCCCGCTAATAATGGAGTCGCAGATGAGAACCAATTTGGGTATTTTGTTACAAGAGTGCCAAGAAAATGACGATTTGCATGATGTTGTTTTGCACGTGGATCGGCGGTACTTCCCCGCACATCGTTTTATTCTAGCCTCAAAAAGTCCCTACTTCGAGAAATTGCTCATAGATGGCGACAAAACAATCAAGTTGGAGGGGGGCTACAACTCGCTCATTTTCGAGCAATTTCTAACTTATGTTTACGTGGGGGATTGCGATTTGTTAAAATGTGGGGAATGCCCCGAAAAACTCAAAGTCTTGTGTGAAAATGACGACAAAATGGCCGCAAAAACAAGCCAACCTAATAGAATTAAAAACCCTATCCGGATGTTACACGAAATGGCGAAAAAATTCGGCTGTTCTGACCTTTGTACGATTTTAGCCGATTACGAAATGCAAAAATACACAATTCGACGAAAATGTCACAAAAAAGTCGTCAGAAAACCCCCACAATTCGATAAAACGTCATTGGTTGAATTCAGTGACGTCACAATCAAGTGCACCGATGGAAAACAATTGAAAGCGCATAAATGCATTTTGGCGGCACAAAGCGACTATTTTAGCAATTTATTTTCGACAAGATGGCGCGGGGTAAGTTGGACCAATCAGAACGCCGTTGCTATGTGTCTATTTACGTAGCAACGCGCGGTAAATTTGAATTTTTCAGACGGAAACGACGGTAATCACACTACCGTGTGCACGAGGCATCGCCGAGGCATTATTGGAGTATTTGTACACCGACACACTCTCATATTTGACCAATCGGGAGCAAGAACATTTATTTAAATTGATTATTTTGGCGGATCAATTATTTATAGGGAGATTGAAAGAGCAATGCGAATTTTTATTATTTAAATGTTTGACTTTGAGGAATTGTGTGCAATTTTTGACATTTTCGAGTATCTACAATTGTGAAAAACTGAAAAATTGTTGTTTGAAATTCATCGTTGCGAATGTCACCCCCTTGTTGGAATTGCGTGTTTTTGAGGATTTAGATGAGTCGTTGTTGAGGGAATTGAGCGATTTTTATTTCGAGGAGAAGGAGGGGATTTGGTGTCGGGTCATAACCCCATATTCGACAGCCCCCTTGGAGGAGGAAATCGTGTCGGTGAGTGCGGCATTTCCCGTCCCCATGGAAAAAGTCGCAAAAACGACACAAAAACGACGCTCGAGACACAAAACCGAGTCAAAAACGGTCAAAGAAACTGTCTTTGATGAGAATTTTATCCAATTTCCCGATTCGCCCCCAGAGAGTGGCGATATGGAAATTCCTAGTCGGTTAAAAGCCATCAAATTGGCGGAAGGGAAATTGGAAAATGATGATTATCGGCCACAATTCACAAAACTAGTGAAAAACTCCGAATTTCCACTTTTGAACAGCCCCCCGACGGGTTATAACCCCTCAAAATCGCCCCACAAATTCGAAAAGTTTGTGAAAATCTCCCAAAAACAGAGAAAACGACTCTCGTCGGAAAACACCCCACCGAAAAATCCCTGGAAAATCACCAGCGAGGTCGGAAGTCCGCCATCTTTGGAAACCAGCATGAGTGAAATTATCTCATCTGAAAAAAAACAAAAGGAAAATCTAGTCAAGATTAAAAGTAAATCTCTGATTTATACACAAGTGCGTTGCACGAGTATTTTATTGTTAATTATTAAAAAAAAAACTGTTTCAGATTGAAGATAAAGCGATTGAAGAACTCTGTAAATTCTACAATACGGAAAATATCAACGACGAATTTATTTCAGTCGAACGGGTCAATATGGGGGCTGTGGCGGTCCCAATTTGGGTCCCAGGTGTAAAAATTTGATTTTGTTGTACAGTTGTGGATTTTATTTTAATAAATTTGGTTTTTAAATTTGGCGCTCTTATTTATTGCCTAGCAACAAGACGATTCATCTCAAAATTTGGCGCGCAAATCTAATAAATGCGCATTGATTAAACTAAAAGTTTAAAGTCCATTTCGTCATCAAATCAACGATTTTCCTCAACACTGATAATTAATTTTCCCAAATACACCAATTGTGATAACCTAAAGAAATTAAGGCGTATTGAAAATTAAATAAGTGTGATAATATTAAATATCACTTAAAAAACAATTTATCATTGTTACTAGGAGATAAAGTCTCAATTTCGCTAATTGTTGTCGATTTCTGCGAATCGTGAAAGCGAAAACATGTTTTCCTATTATTTTTTTCAAAAAATATTGCATTATAAAAATTTAACCCTGAAAGTGTACCAAATTTAAAAGTCCTTCCTGATAACAACATTTCACGGCAAATTTGAATCTAATCTAAACAAAACCAGATTTTTATTGAGTTAATTTATCTTTTTTTTTTCTTATTTGAAAAAAAAAATGTATTGCATAATGATGAACCAGTTTTATGGTCTCTAAAAATAAACTAATTACCCCTCTTACATAAGAAATAAGTAAAAATAAAATGACACCAAGGTCAGAATAACAAAACGGAATTTGTTTTTTGCAATTATTGAAAATAAATTAATTATTTTGAATTAAATTAAGTGAAAAGCTTGTGATTTACATCCGGTGATCGATGACCGCTGATATTTTATTTATAAATTGCTGAGTTTTTCGAATTATCATCGCAAATGGAGGTCCATTGGCCCCAATACTGCGCATGCGCAGCTCCAAAACTAACCTACAAAAAATGTTTACATTTTGAATCGTAAAAGAAGTGAATTATCGCTCGGATTTGTCGATAAATTCGCGAGACAAAAACACAATCTCACAGAGATTTTTCGAATTTTGTGCTAGAAGTGTGTTCCAGTTTTTCCTTCTTCCAAAGAGCATCTTTTTGGGGGTGGGTTATGTGAAAATGAGCATATATAGAGGCAGGACCATTAATGAGATTTATCTGGCTTCAAGACTCTACGACGCAATTGAAGACTGCGATTTGAGGTATTTTTTCAATTTTTGAGTTTCTCACCCATTTCCTGAAGAAAATTCCTCAACAACTTGCTTCATTGCATCATCCAATTTGGGCTGGTTTTTCACATTTTTGGTGATTTTTTGTACCAAATTGAGCTAAAAGTGGAATTTTTTCATTTTTTGTCAAAGACAGTGGCGGATTTTGGGGTGACAAGTGACACTAATGACAGGTAAAATGTCACAAACAGAGCACACTTGACTGTCTTTGTAAAATGCGTTTTTTTGATCAAAATTTTTACATAAGCAACAAAAATTGGCCACATTTTGTAAAATAATTATCAGAAACTCACTTTCTAAGTGTAGTTTAGATTTTAACCCTTGAAAATGTCTCAAATGTCACTCCATCAAAGCACATTTATTTCGTCATTAATTCAGTGACAAGTTTCTAAAAAATTAAATAAATCAACATTTTTGGTACTTACGGTTTTGGAAAACACAAATCTGGGCCAAAAACGGTTTTTTTCTTCATTTTTATTCAGAAAAGATTTTTTCAAACAAATGACTGTTGACAGATAAAAAATCAAAGCACACTATGGTTAGTGTAGTCTTCACAAAACGATTTTTTACCAAAATTCTTGTAAAAAAATGTTTTTTTCCTAAATCTTGGTCACAATTTTGTACAATTATCGTCAAAAAGTCGTTTTCAAGTTTAATTTAATTTTTTTAACGCAAAAAATTCAAATGTTAAATAAAATGTCAAAGTCAAATGTCACTCGTTTTCCAGAAAACTTCGAGAAAAAACATTAAATACGTTGATTTGAGCACAAAATTGTTGCAAAAATGTCATTTCTTGTCTATTTTATTCCAAAATCACCTTTATATACCATTTTATTGTCAAAATTATTCAAAATGTCAAAATCACAGCCTACAATATTTTTTTAACATATCAAATAATTCATATACAGAGTGGCTTCAAACATTTCCAATTTTGAGTATCAGATGACTCGTAGAACAATTTTTGCATGCATTTTGGGCTTGTTTTTACACTTTTGTACGAAATTTAGCTAAAAATGACATTTTTTATTTTTCTTCAGAGATTTTTTAAGTGACAAGTGACTAATGACAGGTAAAATGTCACTAACAGAGCACACTTGACTGTCTTCGGAAAATGCGTTTTTTCATGAAAATTTTTACATAAGCAACAAAAATTGGCCACATTTTGTAAAATAATTATCAGAAACTCACTTTTTAACTACAATTTAGTTTTTTAAACCTTGAAAATGTCTCAAATGTCACTCCATCAAAGCACACTTATTTCGTCATTAATTCAGTGACAAATTTCTAAAAAATTAAATAAATCAACACTTTTGGTACTTACGGTTTTGGAAAACACAGATCTGGGCCAAAAAAACGGTTTTTTCTTCATTTTTATTCAGAAAAGATTTTTGCAAACAAATGACTGTTGACAGATAAAAACCAAAGCACACTATGGTTAGTGTAGTCTTCACAAAACGATTTTTTTACCAAAAGTCTTGTAAAAAAAATATTTTTTCCAAATCTTGGCCACAATTTTGTACAATTATCGTCAAAAAGTCGTTTCCAAAACCAATTTAATTTTTCTAACGCAAAAATTCAAATGTCAAATGAAATGTCAAAGTCAAATGTCACTCGTTTTCCAGAAAAGTTCGAGAAAAAACATTAAATACGTTGATTTGAACACAAAATTGTTACAAAAACGTCAATTGTTGTCTTTTTTATTCCAAAATCACCTTTTTACACCATTTTATAGCCAGACATATTCAAAATGTCAAAATCACAGCCAACCATTTTTTTTGACATGTCAAATAATTCATATACAGAGTGGTTCAAACATTTCCAATTTTGAGTTTAAAATAACTCGTAAAAAAATAAAAATCACAAATTCTTGCATATTTTGTTCCAATAACCACTTTTACATCACCAAAAATGTCAAAATTACAAAATTAACCTGTCAAATTAATATACAGAGCGGCTCTAAACAATTATTTGCGTTTCAGATTGATAAATTTCGCTTCTAATCGCAAAAAACTGTGAAATTAGCACGAAATGAGTCGCTGATGTCCTGCAATGTCTTCATTTTCTCCGAAAATGTAAACATTGTGTTATCTGAAAAGATAGAGAAGGCGCCGCTTACGCAACACACTAGACTTGTTGAAGTCCAAAAATGTGATAATTTTTTTGAAAATTGCAAAGGTAGCTAGATTCCGGCTCCAAACCCGGTGTCAAGGTCACGTGTGTGATAATTAAGTCATTGTATAGTACTATAAACTGCGATAATTCTATAAATAAATCGTAAATGGCTAAATTTATCTCTTTAAATGTGTCATAAAATCGCTTTTTTGCAAAAAGCATCACGACAATTCGTGGTACCGAAATAAAAATAGTTGGCCGTGAACTTTTTTCAAAATTGAAAATTTGTTATTTCGAGCGATTCAAAGTGCAATTTTTACGTCACAAGAGACAATAAAACGTTGTATGTAACTCATGTTCTTATCGTTATCATTTGAGACGCCAATTCTTGCGCATTTGGCGGGACTGAGCGAGTTTTTTCCAGTTATCGTAAAACAAGTAAAAATTTAACATAATTTATAGTAAATAAAGCAGGCACAGGAAGTGATAACTCGTCTGAGGTCATTTGATTTTTCCAGTTCAATGAAAACGTTATCCGGATTTGAGACACACCCCGTTTTTTAATTTTTAGGTTAGGGGGGCCCGATTTGTTAGGTTGGCAACACTTTGACAACCATGTCACTTTTATTTCTCAATAAATTATGATTTTTGACAAGTATGAATTAATTTGATAAATGTCAAAATCATAGTCTGTCACCAAAAAAGTGTATTAAATAAATGCAATTATGAAAAATATTGATTTTGAACACAATTAATTACTTTTTATTGTTATATTAATACAGGGTGATTGGTTAAAATTGCAAAAATCGTCAATTTTTGGTCTAGTGGTGCCCGATTTATTACGTTGGCAACACTTTGGCAGCCATATTCCTCAATTTACTATTTATCTTGGATTTTTGTCCACTTTTATTACATTAAAAGTAAGTCAATTTGTAGTTTCACGAAGTATGAAAATTGATTGATTGATTGATTGATGAAATTATGATTTTTGACAAGTATGAATTATTTTGGTAAATGTCAAAGTCATTAACACAATCATTGCCATATTAATTTTCGGTTTGTTACGTTGGCACCACTTTGACATGTCACTAAAATTCCAGTTCTGTGAAAACCCTGTTATCAAGAGGCGCCGACCCGAATTTAATCCTCCCCAAAGTGAAAATCTCCCCATTTCACTTAATCATCGGAAACGATTCGCAAGATTTCGCATCGACAGTCGTCAGTCTCCTCCTCCAAAACGGGGGAAACCCCAATATTCGTGCCGATGACGGTCTAACCCCCGTACACATAGCGGCCGCTTGGGGCCGCTATGACATCCTCAAACTCCTCTTGGACTGCGGGGGAGACCCCGAAATTCGAGATTGCAACAACAAGACTGCTCTTCATTACGCCCTAGATGAGGGATTCACCGAATGCTACACTTTGCTCAAGTCTTACGTCACTGATAAGGCCGGTGTTTTATTCAAGGAGAAAGAAGACTGCAAAAATTATAACTTGAAATTGGGTAAGTGTCAAAACTGTCAAAAATTTTTTGTCATATGTCAAAACTGTCAAAAATTCTAAGCACACTATAACTGTCAATTTTATAATTAATTGATTCTAAAAATAGCAATCTTGTAAACAATTTAACAAAAGACAAACATTGATTACGCAATTTCGTCTAAATTTAGCTCAGTTTTTATGAAATAAATCAAAGTTTTGATGATTTTTGACAGGTATGAATTATTTTGGTAAATGTCAAACTCAGTTTGTCACGAAAAAAGTGTATTAAATAAATGCAATTGTGAAAAATATCGATTTTGGACACAATTAATTACTCTATTGTTATATTAATACAGCGTGATTGGTTAAAATTGCAAAAATCGACAATTTTTGGTCTAGTGGAGCCCGATTTGTTACATTGGCAACACTTTGATAGCCATAAGTCCAAGATAAGAAAATTGTGTCAAAACTGTCAAAAAAATTTATGTCAAAACTGTCAAAAATTCTAAGCACACTATAACTGTCAATTTTGTAATTAATTGATTCTAAAAATAGCAATCTTGTAAACAATGCAAGAAAAGACAAACACTGATTCCGCAATTGCGTCTAAATTTAGCTCAATTTGTTTTGTTTTCTCGACTATTCCAATATTTTTTTTCTTCTTTAGATAAGATAGTCGTCAACAATGGTAGTACAATCGGGGAGTACGAACTCATCAATGAGTCCAAACCTGCCAACAGTATTAATAAAAATTCCCCTAAATTGGACGAACTCCCCCAAGCCGACTCAAAGGAGTACATAATCAATTGGTTCAATAGCCACGTCCAAACCTCCCCCACTCCAACCCCTCCCACTACCGGAAGCACTTCCGGTTATGACGACGACACCGATTCGTTCAAAGAATCCGACGAGGAGCGTTACAATCACTTAAACAATCGCAATATCGCTTTCCGGAAGGTTTACCGGAAGAAATCCCCCAAAAAAATCCCACTCAACATCACCGGAGTTACAACAATAGACGCCACTAGTGATTACGTCTCAGGTACTTCCCCTGAGATCCTCGAACGCAATATTTTCGATTTTGAGGAGAATAAAAGTCAGATTAGTGTTTTGACCAAGTCGGAGGGGATTAGTAGTGAGGATTTGAGTTTTGTGAGCGTTTCTGAGGTTTATAAGTACGTGGATGAGGCCGAAGGGATTGTTTTGTACGAGAGGAGGTTTTTGAAGTCGCCTGTGAGGTGATTATCTGATAATTTCTTATCAGTTTGGTGTGTGTAAAAATGGATTTTTGTTGCAGTGATGGGAGTGTCAAGTCGTTTGTTTCCTCCAGGGATTCATTCCCGGAAACAATTGATTTTGAGGATTATGATCCCGAGGCGATTAGGAGGGAATTGACGTGTTTGGGGTACAATCCCGGGCCCATTACGGTCACCACAAGGAGGGTCTATTTGAAGAAGTTGAAACAGTTGAAGAAAGTACCACCAGTGGCCAATCCGGTTGATAATAAGGCAGTTGCAAGAGGTATGAAAGTTGATCATTTATGGTTTTTGATAAGTATGGATTAATTGACAACTTTTTATTGATTGATTGAAATCATAAAATCAGTTTTTGCTGTATTTCGAGGGCAAAATTGATAAAATTATGATTTTTGACAAGTATGAATTAGTCACCTTGGGATTAAAAAACTGTCAAATGCAATTAATTACTCTTTCTTGTCATATTAATACAGGATGACTGGGTAAAATTACGAGAATCGTTAATTTTTGGTTTAGTGGGGCCCGATTTGTTAGGTTGGCAATACTTTGACAGCCGTGTCACCCAATTTACTGTTATTCAGCCAATTTGCAGTTTCTCTCATTATGAAAATTGATTGATGAAATTATGATTTTTGACAAGTGTGAATTATTTTTGTAAATGTCAATGTCACTAAAAAACTATTATGCGTTAAATAAATGAGATTATGAAAAATATTGATCTTGAACACAATCAACTCTTCATTATTGTCACATTAATACAGGGTGTTTGGTTAAAATTACAAAAATCGTTAATTTTTGGTTTAGTAGTAACGCCCGATTTGTTAGGTTGGCAACACGTTGACATTGTAATTTTGAATTTTTTGTAACAATTTTTCCTTTTTTTTTTTTAAACATTTGAAGAGAGAACTTGATCAATTATGGTTTTTGATAAGTATGGATTAATTGATTAATCCATAATAACTAGTTTTTATTGTCGCATTGATGCAAATTCTTGATTAAAAAATGAAAAAACCAACTTTTTTGAAGTAGTTTGAAGTTTGACAATTGACTAAATTATGATTTTTGACATATGAATTATTTTGGTCAAAGTCATAGCCTGTCACTAAAAAACTGTATTATGCAATAATTGCATAAAATTATGGAAAGTAATGACCTTGAACACAATGAATTACTCTTATTGTCACATTAATACAGGGTGATTGGTTAAAATTGCAAGAATCGTTAATTTTTGATTTAGTGGGTCCCGATTTGTTAGGTTGGCTAAACTTTGACAGCCGTGTCACCGAATTTACAAAATTATAAATTTTATTACATTAAAAGTTAGCCAATTTGCCAGTTTTCGATTGATTGATTAAATTATGATTTTTGACAAGTATAAATTAATTTGATAAATGTCAAAGTCATAGTCTGTCACCAAAAAACTGTATTAAATAAATGAAATTATGAAAAATATTGATTTTGAACACAATTAATTACTCTTTATTGTTATATTAATACAGAGTGATTGGTTAAAATTGCAAAAATCGTCAATTTTTGGTCTAGTGGTACCCGATTTGTTACGTTGGCAACATTTGACAACTATATTCCTCAATTTACTATTTATCTTGGATTTTTGTCCACTTTTATTACATTAAAAGTAAGCCAATTTGTAGTTTCCCGAAGTATGAAAATTGATTGATTGATGAAATTATGATTTTTGACAAGTATGAATTATTTTGATAAATGTCAAAGTCATGTATTAGGCGTTAAAGAAATGAGATTATGAAAAACATTGATTTTGAATACAATTATTGCCATATTAACACCGGGTGATTGATTAAAATTGCAAAAATCGTAAATTTTTGCTTTGTTAGGTTGGCAACACATTGACAGCCATGTCAGTGTCATTTTGAATTTTTTGTTATGTTACAATTTTTCCGTTTTTTCGCCCATTTCCGTCCTAAAAATCGCTCAATTCTTGCAGTTTACTCCTCCGAGTTGGAGAAAACCCTGAAAAACCCCGACTGGTTGAAAAACATCTCCTTGTACAAAACCCTCGACGAGGCCTTCACTCGGCAATTCTCGGCCCCCGACCCTTCGAAAAAGTGGCGCGAGGGCACCAACAAGTCCTCCTTCACCTACCTGCTCCTCGACCCGCGCATCACCAACAATCTCCCCCTGAGGGCGGAGTCCCTCAAGCCCCGCGAAGTGTGGGAGACGTTCCTCGCGTCGGTGTTCTACGTGGGGAAGGGCAAGAGGGCGCGCCCCTACGACCATCTCTACGACGCCGTGAATCTGTGGAATGGGGGCCAGAGGGGCGCCGAGTGTCGCAAATTGGGGAAGATCCTCGATATCTGGAGGGATAATTGCGGGGTGGTGTGTTTGCACCTCTTCCAGAATAGCATCCCCGTGGAGGCCTACACCAGGGAGGCGGCGATGATCGACGCGATCAAAATCGAGAATTTGTGTAATGTGAATCGGGGGAACTTCTATGGGGTGGTGGCGACCTGGGGGCAGAGGGAGAAAGACAAGTTTGGGGTTTTTCTACTCTACAAGGCAATGGTGATTTTTCTCAATGAGGGGGAGAGGCAATTGTGTCCCGCGGATATTAATTAGGGTTGTCAGTTTTTTGACTAGTATTTTTCAGTATTTGACGAAAATCACTTGTTTGACACTTTTTTTTCTACTATTTGTTTTATTTATATCATTTTTTGTCTAGTCTAATAGGAAATATCTTGCCCAAATAAAATTTTACTATTTTACTTTGTCTTAAGTTTTTTTTTTAAATAAATTTACACATGTTAATAAAGTTTCTATATTGATAAATTGTGTGTTTGTTTTCTTGTTATCTCACCCAATTATACAATTAGTGAATTAATAAACAAAGTTTTCTGGAATTATTTAGTTCGAGAAAAATTTTATCGCTTCAAATTACCTTCAAGAGTTCAAGAACGGTCGATGTCGCGGTTCTTTGAACTAATAATTAAGCTAAACTAATTTTTACAGGTCAAGTATTTATTTCAATTTTTTTGTTTTTTTTTTATTTTAATTAAAAAAAAATTGAACTAAATCATGTTTTTTGTACTATTAGGGACTTAAAAAAGTTCATAAAACGTTGGGAGAAGTTTATAAAAATCGATTTTTTAAAGTAAAAATTCGTCATAGTTTTGAAGTTATAGTCGAATTTATATTTTTGATATTTTTTACTTTATCACAAATTTTCTCGATAACTATTTATCGTAGAACACTGATCTTGTATATTATAGAAAATTAAATTTTCTTTCCAACGGTACCAAACATAAGAAGTTATCTCTAATAAGTCCGGAGTTATTGGTATTAGACCACTCCGGGTGCCAAAAATCAACCAAAATCTCTACAAAAATCAAAAAAAAAAATTATCTTTAAAATTGATCTATTTAACGTTTTTTACATTTCTAGGGGTGCTAAAGACTCAAATAAGTGCATAAAACGACATTGGGTCAAGTTTAAAAAATTTCGAATTTTTTGAATTTTTGAAGATGAGCGGTAGTAAAATCGTAAAAATAGTCAATTTAATAAAAAAAAACGCTTGAAATATGGTTTTCTAGACGTAAAATTACTCGCTGAACACGATTCAACTAGTTAGAATACTCTACGATGCATAGTTTTTGAGATATTGAGTAATAAAGTTAAGAATAAGGCTAAAAGTA